CCATTTTTTGGTTGCAGCCATCATTGTTGTTTGGTGGGCCCAGGCTGGGGATTCGAACCCGCCACCTTAGGTGTATGTGGCTGGCGCCTTAGCCGCTTGAACCACAGGCACTGAGCCAATCTGACTGTTTTCTTTCAGTCAAAATCTGTCTTCTTGTAGCCTATACACATTGATGCTGGTTCTATACTCCAAAGTAAAATCAAATCAGACCTCCTTCTATCAAAATACCTAAAATAATTTTAATTGAGGATGGTTATTATTCCTAGACCCCACCTACTTCCAGTGCCTTTAATTTTTCTTCATTTGATATAATTTCCATGTTTTGTTCTGTTTTGTTGCGACAGAGTCTTAATAGCCCAGCTATTTTTTTTGTTACATTTTGGCCGGGGCCAGGCTTGAACCCGCCACCCTCAGTATATGGGGCCAGTGCCCCACTCACTGAGCCACAGGCGCCACCTGAAAGCCCATCCCTTAAAAATAAATAAATAAGTAGGGCAGCACCTATGGCTGGGTGAGTAGGGCGCTGACCCCATATACCAAGGGTGACAAGTTCAAACCCGGCCCCAGCCAAACTGCAACAAAAAATACCCGGGCATTGTGGTGGGCACCTGTGGTCCTAGCTACTCGGGAGGCTGAGGCAAGAGAATCGCCTAAGCTCAAGAGCTGAAGGTTGCTGTGAGCTGTGACGCCATGGCACTCTACTGAGGGTGACAAAGTGAGACTCTGCCTCTTAAAATAAATAAATAATAAAGTGAAGATATTAATGTATCTATTCAATGAGTCTTTTGGTTCGGAGAGAGTAGGCATTAGCACAATGCCAGCAGGGGTGCAAGAAGTTTATGCAGAAAGCAGTTCTTATTAGAACTTACTCTTAGAACAGTTCTTATTAGAACTGCATACAGTAAATATATGCAGAAAGCAGTTCTTATTATTAGTGCTGTGCAGAGTACTCCACGTTCGTCATGACCAATGCAGGTGAAATTCTGTCTACCTCTTTCTTTCTTTCTTTTTTTTTTTTTTTTGCAGTTTTTGACCTGAGCTGGGTTTGAACCTGCCACCTCCAGTATATGGGGCTGGCACCCTACTCTTTGGAGCCACAGGCACTGCCCTGTCTACCTCTTTCATGATCTGGACATTAATCTCATGGTATAGGTGGTCATTAACCTAATTATAGTCTAAGCTTGTGGTCACCTAAACTACTAAGTCATTTTACCTAATGTTGTCAAGTGAGAGTATTGCCTATAGACAGGTTTTAAGTCCAAATAAAAATTTACATTAGGTGGCATCTGTGGCTCAAGGAGTAGGGCGCCAGCCCCATATACCAGAGGTGGTGGTTTCAAACCTGGCCCTGGCAAAAAAAAAACTGCAACAACAACAACAAAACAAAAATGTACATTTATCTCTGATACATGTAATCATATTGTCTTCATCCTCTTTTTCAAATCTGCAGAGGTTGTTTTAAATTCACTAACTCATTTGCTCACCAAGCATTTACTATATGGCACATTGACATTATTCTAAGACATGGGAATATAGCAGTGAACAAAACAAAGTTACTCTTCTTGTTACATCTATCGAATGAGGGGAAACAGACAAATATGTTACAGTAGTAGGCACTATGAAGAAAAAGGGTGATAGGAATATTATCTGACTTACAGAAGGCAAGAAATGTTTCTCTGATGAGGTGAAGTTTTAGGCCTATAGTAAGGAAGTGGTAAGCTGTGTAGAAGCCTGGTGCAAGGGTGTTCCAAGAAAAATCTGAAATATGCTGAAGTCACATTATTTCCTTAGTTCTACTCTAGACCTTTAATACCTAAATGCAATTTGGCTTCAATGGACTTCAGGGGGAAAAGAACCTAAACCTAATTTTCTAAGGCAGGGACCCAACTTTTGTGAAAAAAAAGACAAGACTAAGGTAAGGGAATAGAAAAAAATCTATTTAAGTTATTTGTTTGTACAACAAATATATATTGGCCAGGCGTGGTGGCTCACACCTGTAATCCTAGCACTCTGGGAGGCCAAGGTGGGTGGATTACCCTGAGCTCAGAGGTTCAAGACCAGCCTGAGCCAGAGTGAGACCCCCCCATCTCTACCAAAAAAAAAAAGCCAGGCACTGTGGCAGGTGCCTGTAGTCCCAGCTACTTGGGAGGCT